CTTCCACAGATGATTTTTTTTTAATGGATTTTTTTGTCAAAGCACTTCAGATATTCATTGCTATCGGGATGTTAAGAGCATTCCATGGAGTATAACAAAAAGTGTATCTCGAGCCGGTCTCTCAAACTTACCTACCACACCTTTAACACAAAAACCATTAATCAACACCAAATTTCATTTGACACCCGTTCAAACTGTACATATTGTATCAGACTACTGGTATACATGAAAAACTGCAGTAAATATACAAAGAATAGACACTGAACATGTATTGCGTGTGCCAGGTGTGATCCATGTGGGGGGATGGGCACATAAGAGCGGGAAATGTCTCCAATTGTTTCTGGTGTGTGTGTGTGTGTGCCAGTTTTGATCTCACATGGGGGGAATGGGCCCACATAGGAGCGTGAAATGTGTCTCAAATTGTTCTGTGTGTGTGTGTTTGTGTGCCAGGTTTGATTCACATGGGGGGATGGGCACATAAGAGCGTGAAATGTGTCTAGTGTGTGTGTGTGTTTTATCTGATCCGGATGGTTACTAATTCCTTTTCTTTATGGCGGAACACCATGGGTGTTACAAAGTTGACTAAATCATCCAAAATGCAATGAAAGTGGTGATCAGCAATTTGATATGTTCAAATGTCTACTGTGAAGGATATCATAAAGCCTTAATGCAATCGAATGTAAAACAAAAAAGTTGTGATTGATGAAAGTAGTAAATTGGTCAGATTTGACCCGAAGACAACAGGAGGGTTAAGCCTTTTGTTTTACTCATGATTATATCACTCACAAGTATGACAGTAAAAAACTGTTGATTCTTTTACTGGGGTATTTCCATTTTATGATAGTTTCTTCTTCTACTCCACAACATTTGAAAGCCAATATGTTCATTCTATTTTTATTCAATGGCATCATTTGTGATATTAGTTACTTTGCAGATTGAGATAAATAGCTATAGCCACTGTTTCTGTTTATGACATCACTAATCACTTCATCACAATCGATCGATCAGAGTCAGGTAGTCTACCTTTAGTGGGGCTAAAATACAGATCAACTTGAGCTAGGCTAACGTTAGCTAAGCTGCATGTTAGCTAACGTTCCCACAAAAATGTTTATTGTTTCGATTTTTTTAGATTTAACTGAAATAATACGAGGATCTATCCCTCCAGAGAATTCCTACCTTTGAAATACTTTGACTGATTTAATCTATTCTTTGTGTTTGGAATACTTTTTACAGCCCAAGTGTTGTAAATTCTGAACCGTTTCATCCGAGGTGAAAAAATATGAAGTCTTTGTTTTGGAGCTACAAGAGTTTCACATAAAAAATGACCTCGACTGATTCCTGATCAGATATCTACCTTCGTGCAGCCGCGTGTTGATCCGTACAGCACTTTAGTTCCAAAAGCTTTACGAGAGTATCCCGAGGCGATGTATGCCGAAGGCTGTCTCTTTGAAGAAAAGAGTCGTATAACCTACTTTTTTTTCTTTAAGCAACACCAAAGACCCCCGAGGCCTTTTCACTACAGTCAGTATTTTTATTGGAATACCCCTTTGCTCAGCAGAACAAGAGGCAGTCATTGTCTTTTACCGGTTAAACTCACGGTAAAGACGCCTTTTCATAAGAAACACTAAGTCCACGTCCTGCCCTTATGACAGTCAATAAAGAGAAAGGGATAAGTGAGTTTTTACAGTGCTCAGACAAATCCTCGGGCCTCTTGTTCTTCCGACTTAGTTTTTTTCTCCTCGAGGTCATGACGAAGGTCAATCCTCGCTCTGTACGTGTTGGTAGTGTTTGATCAAAAATCAGTTAAGAAATAGTCCTGGAAAAAGTTGGAACATTACTTTTTAAATTGTGTTGTGTGCATGTATGTTTGTGTAAATGTTTGGAAACAACTGTTTTATTCGTGTTTCTGGTGTTGCCTTATTATTATTAATAATAATAATAATAGCTCCTTTAACAACGATAAAAACATAGCGATTCAGGCATAAATTATAAAATGTAGCCTACATGTGAAATAGTTTTGGACCCAAAGGAACAAGAATTAAAATATTAATATTGTGAACAACACTTAAAGGCAGGGTAGGTAATTTTGGAGAAACCAGCTCGAGCGCTAGAATTTGAAAATACACAATCGGAAAGAATCTGCCACTTCCTTACAGAGCCCCTCCTCCAACACACACGAACGCGCACATGACCAATGAGGGCACGAGATAAGTTTGTGCACAGATGGAAGGCTGACAGGCAGGTAGGCCATCCAGTTATTTTAGCCGGGCCGGCTCAGATGATTGGTCGTGCTTTTTACAGTACCACAGCTTCCAGAGATGACGTTTTTTTAATGGATTTATTGTCAAAGCACTTCAGATATTCATTGCTATCGGGATGTTAAGAGCATTCCATGGAATATAACAACAAGTGTATCTCGAGCCGGTTTCTCAAACTTACCTACCCCACCTTTAAGGTGATCAGAAAAATCTGTTATTTGGTTAGGTATTCAACCTTCGACCCAGTTAATCGTTTTCTCCTCTCACTGTCTCCTTTCCCATGGCATAGGTCTACGGCCTTGGGTATTGCTGCTATCTCTCTTAAGGAGGAGCAGCTTGGGGGCATTGTTGTTGCCAGTCTATGACCGAGCACAAGCCGCCATGAGGTAGTTTACTGTTCAGGGACGTAGGTTTCCTGGCACACATTCTTTTCTATGGACGAGAGCTCTAGTTAGATTCAGGGTCCATAATTGTTTAGTCTCGCTGATAAAGAATGTTGATTATTACACTCCGAACTAGTTAAAACCTCGAGCTGCAGAAGAGTTCTTCAGAATTGGTTTGGCAAGGCAACCGCTGTGTCATCTCGTGACACACCACCAGTCTCGTCAATTCTCTGGCCGAAGCTCCAAATAAACCGTCAGTGTTTTCCATCAAAGCTCCAGCTCTCCTCGTGTCTCTCTGAGTCCTGACTCTCCATTGCTACAGAAGTTTCCCCCACAATATCTGTATTAGCTTGTTTTATGTTTATTTTATTCCATTAGATTTCTAATGACTGTTTTTAAATGCCATTTTAAAATGTGTTTCAGCGGCACTATTTTAACATTTTCATTTTTGTAAAACACTTTGAATTGCCTTGTGTTGAAAGGTGCTATATCAATAAACTTGCCTTGCCTTGGCTTAAGAGTTATCCCTGGAAAAAGTGGGACACAGTGAGAATTCCCTCTTGGATCTATAGTTATCTATAGTTGATCTATAGTTAGTTAGTTTCCACTGAAATGGCAAAAAGTAAACGACATTAGCTTCATCTATGTTTCTCTCTGGTTGAATCTGTCCCAGTCAAAACAGGCCTTACAGAAAGACATACATACTTCCCTGAATGAAAGAGACGTACCAAAATAAAGTGTGGTTTCTGTTGGCAGAGCTCGGAGGCCAGGTGCATCCTGGAGGAGCCGGTGGATTGGGCCGATGGCTTCGTGGTGGTTTACAACATCAGCGACCGCTCCTCCTTCATCGACGCCAAGAACATCCTGTTGCAGATCCGAGAGGCGCGCATGGAAAACTGCAAAGGGTGAGAAGAAGCACAATGAGGGTATTCTACTTTGAAGTAGACAGAATGTTAGGGTTGAGCAGCGCAGGTAGGACCCAATTGCAGGACGGCACATTTTTTAAACTGAAATACCTTTAATTCAAGGCTAACAAGAACAGTACTCACTCCCTTGTATGGACAAAAACAACAATCAGACCTCTCTCTCCCTTGTGAAAGACTGAAAGAACCCACACACACCAACAGAATACCAGAACTTAAATAAATACAAGACCAGTCAAGAAGAAAGGACACAGCTGGGGAGGGAAAACACAAAGGTGAACAGAATCAGATAATCAGACATGAGGGAAAACACAGAGACAGGAAGCATATACAGACATGAGACAGGGGGTGAGCACTTATAAACAGATAGGACAGGGCCGGACTGGGACAATAAGTCAGGCCGGGAATTATACACCCAGCCAGGCCACTACCAGTTGTCTTTTGTGCCATTTTTCTGGATTTATTTGTCAATATTTACAGCGTTGCTGCCCATAGTGATAGCCCTAAACTTTAAATCTACTACCCCAGAATCAACATGGGTTACTATTTTAAAAAAATTGCAAATCTATTTAGGAACCTATCCATGTGAACATATTTTAAGTGGGGGTGGACCTCAAATCCTCTAGGGGGGTCCGGGGGCACACTCCCCCGGTAAGATTTTTTTTTTTTAAACGTTGGATTTAAATGCATCAATCTGGTGCACTTTGAGGGGGAAATAAAGAGACTACACCCATATGAAACCGAACTGTATACATTTAAATAATCATAAAATCATAAGAACATGGCCATAACCAATAACATACCATATCCAATATGAAAAAACATTGAAACTTGTTTATTTATTTGTTTTTGGTTCATTTATAGTTGTGAGTGTGTCTGGGCTCCTGAACCAGCCACCGGTCTCCCCCCTCTCCCCCCTGCTCCTCTTTGAGGCAGCAGCAAAGACTAGTTTTAGCTCTCAACACATTTTTAAAGTTGATCTTACCTTGTTTCACCTAGTTAACATTTTTTTTTATTATTCATCTATATTTTACTAATCACTCCCCCTTCAAATGGAAATATGTGTTTACATAAATGGGGACCAAACCGTTTGAGACCCACAGAGAACTTAGACTAAGTTAACTATCTAAACACTCAGAGTCCTTTACCTCACCTGAGCTGTAGTTATCAGTCTCTCAGTCTGACAGGAGACGACTCTCCTCCACCTTGTTGACAGCTCATTATATCCGTTAGCGCAGCTAGCTAGCACCAGATGCTAACAACTGCATACACGTAACCGGTGCGCGCGCTTTCTCTCTCGCTCGCTCGCGCCACACATACACACCCTCCCGAGCTTGAATGACACACAGAGACCAATCGAGGGCATTAGTGTATGATCTGTATGAAAGTGGCCATGTCGGCAGGCCACATCATGTAGACAGCCAGTCACCCTCTGTGAGGTAGAGTCAGATCCACATTTGCGCAGCGTTGCGTTCACAATACATACATAAAAAAAAAAAATCCTCAGGCCAGCAGGCCACTTAGCAGGCCAGGCCATCGGGAAACCTCCCGATGGCCAGTCCGGGCCTTTTGGCATATATTATGTTTGCCTTTACCATATGACAAACACTGCTGTCGAAACTAAATAAAAAGACCCCCACTTTTTGTTAGTCCCCGCCCGACCAACGACTACTCAGCACCCTCTAATTTGTAAATCCTATTCCCCTCAGTTCCTTGACTTTACTCTGCACTTGTTTTGGTTTTGTCTTCAATTTTTCTGCTTATGTTCTTACTGTTTATTTGTTTGGTACTTTGTCGAACTGAATCGTGAAAAACTGCCCGTGGTTGTGTAGGTGGAAGTGTGACTTACACGTAAACTAAGGACAGTACACTTTACCGAAGTTACCTATAAAATAGTCTCGAATACGTCAAATTCAGTAACACAGAAGAAGTATTAAATTAACCTAATTTACAAGTTCACTACAAACGGACTTGTTGTATGGAAGGATTATCTCTCTAATTTACTAACAGACAGAAAAGTCAAGGTGTAGACGTCCTTGTACACAATTTCGGCGACTTACTTAGGCAGTAACTCTCGAAACGGAAACGAACTGGACATCGACTCCAAGAACAAGGACGTAAACCGGTATACCTGAGTTGGACGTAAATGGATATAACAAATACCTACCCGGGTTTTAAGTTCCCTTTATGAAAGATCTACTAGTTAGATGGGCAGATAACATTTCCCGTTTGCAAGACGGAAAATCATAAAGATGAAAGGTGAAGTAAACTCTCCTTCGATATGTAAGGACTAGATATGATAACTTATTATATACAATGTTGTACTTGTGAACTTTAAACCGAGGTGGGAACTACCGTATCAGCCGGAAATCAGGTCTTGATTTTTACCTCTTCAAGTCCAATAATACGAGGTTTATGAAGACCTTGGACGTCTCAGGCGAAGTTTAGATTGTGAATGTGTATATGACATTGAAAAGGGGGTCTCCCGAATTCTAAGTACCAATTACAAAATAAACTAAATACGAAACGAAAAANACACTTTGTCATGCTGGCAAAGTTCGGACGATTCTAAGGGCCCGTGACTGACAGGGGCCCAAACCATTTTAGAACATTAAGAAAAAAATGTTTAAGTAACCAATGTGATATCTTTTCATGGGGCCCACAATCCCTGGCGGCGCCCCTGCATGCTGGGTCTTGAACCACCAAATATTTCTACTAATACTACTACTACTACTACTACTACTACTACTACTACTACTACTACTACTACTACTACTACTACTACTACTACTACTACTACTACTACTGCTACTACTACTACTGATACGACTGTTGGGGAAATATTTCCCAAGGTCCATAACTTTGACCCAGTTTATCAGTTCATAGGCCTACTGTCCTGACTGAGCACACGCACCTGTAACCTTGGCTGCTGTGCTCTCGGTGTTTTGTCTCCCTGTTCCTGCCTGTTGGCGTCAGCTGATAGAGGTGTTATGGTTCTATCTTGTTATGGTCAATGTTGATGATTCTCTCNGAACTAGCTAAATACATGGGTCTGGGGTAGAGTTCTTCAGAATTGACGTGGCAACTCTACCGTGGAGTCAGAACCTCTGACTCTGGACTTGTTTTGTGAATTCTCCGGCCGAAGCTCCAAATAAACCCATCAGTGTTTGACATCAAAGCTCCAGCTCTCCCCGTGTCTCCTTTTGAGTCGGTGACTCCTCCTGCATTGCTACACAGAAGTTTCCCCCACAAAATGTAAAGATTACTATTAAGAAAATAGAAACTAAATGCCACAAGACTGTTAAACACCTGAACTTTTGAAAGAACATCCATAACATTCATCTGTTTGCAACTTATATATCAATATTCCAATTACTTGTAGACTTTCCTGCACTATTTCTATTATATTCAATTTTATTGTATTAACTTGCACTATTATCTGTTTCATTGTGTTGCACTGTTGGAGGAGCCTGTGTGACCTAAGATTTTCATATCTACACTGCAGCTATGTACACATGACAATACAAGCTTTGAATCTTGAACATTTCTCCATGTCTGTGCTGCAGGGAGGTGGAGGTCCCGGTGTGTCTGGTGGGGAACAAGCAGGACTTGTGTCACGCCCGGCAGGTGTGTGAGGAGGAGGGCCGCTGCCTTGCTCAGGAGCATCGCTGCCACTTCCAGGAGGTGTCCGCGGCCGAGAGCTACCAGGACATCTCCGCGCTCTTCACACAACTCATCCGCCAGGTGATGGAGCTCCTGAAGTACCGAGCCGACCGGCGGCGCTACAGCGGCTCCAAGTCCATGGCCAAGCTCATCAACAACGTGTTCGGCAAGAGGAGGAAGTCAGTGTGAGCGGGAGGAAGCAAGGAGGGTGTGTGTGAGGAGGCGTGTTAAAGGGAAGGTGTTCAATTATCACTCGTCACCGGCTTGAGCTTCAATCTCAGGATCCATGTATCTGTGATCCTCTCCAGAATGGAAGTAGTCGTCACATACAGAGCATCAACTAGTTCCTGAACAGTGTCCTTCACATGCTGATATCCAAGAGAGGGAGTTACACAGTCACAACATGGACGAATACCGGTTATTCTAAGTAATCATTCATCCTGTCATGTACAAAATACTGAGTTTTTTCTCAAAATTCTGTCTTTTTTCTCAAAATCTCAAAATTCTGTCTTTTTTTCTCAAAATCTAAAAATTCTGTCTTTTTTCTCAAAATCTCAAAATTCTGACCCTTTTCTCAAAATTCTGTCTTTTTTTCTCAAAATCTCAAAATTCTGTCTTTTTTCTCAAAATCTCAAAATTCTGTCTTTTTTCTCAAAATCTCAAAATTCGGACTCTTTTCTCAAAATTATGTCTTTTTTTCTCAAAATTCTGGCTTTTTCTCAAAATCTCGAAATTCTTTCTTTTTTTCTCAAAATCTCAAAATTCTGACTCTTTTCTAAAAATTCTGTCTTTTTTTCTCAAAATCTCAAAATTCTGGCTTTTTCTCAAAATCTCAAAATTCTGTCTTTTTTCTCAGAATCTCAAAATTCTGTCTTTTTTCTCAAAATCTCAAAATTCTGTCTTTTTTCTCAAAATCTCAAAATTCTGACTCATCAACACAGGCTCACTATTTGGCAAGATGACTAAGCCTCATATTGGCTACTTAGCGAGAATCAACTCAGTGAGCAACAGATACCAAGGATGCTGACTGATGAAGAAGACGAAGTAAGCTAGTTAGCCAATATAAGGTTTAGCAGCACAGATACATGTGGGCTCACTATTTGGCAAGCAAACCGGTCACAGTGGCCCTGTTTATCTCATGTCTTATAAAAGCGTATTAATGATTTATAAAGTGTTCACAACCTAATTAATTAATTAATTACAAACCTTTATAAGGTAGTCTTATTGTAAAGTGGTACTGGCAATTCAAAGTGCTTTACAAAAATGAAAGACATTAAGAGTATAAAACACATTAGAAACATTAAAAGGAAAAGTTAATAAAACATGAATACACAGGTACGTGAATAAATGTTACAGTGCAGTGTGAGATTTGAATTCTTCAATTAAAAGCAGCGGCAAAAAGAAAGTCTCCAGCCTGGATTTAAAAGTAGTCAGACTTGCAGCGGACCTGCAGGTTTCTGGTAGTTTGTTCCAGATATTTGACAATACCCCTAACCAAATTCTCACAGTCCTCTACCCCAAGTCTTCCCGTGAAATTAAAGTTCCTTTGACACTTTTTATAACCTTTTTATATTCCTTTCATCCATTGTGCATCCCCAGACAACACATGTTCCGGTTTTACTGTTACCCGAACCCATCTTTGACCTTTAAACCACTTTTCTTTTCAATTCCCAGAATTAGGATATTTAAACCTGTAATGTAAGGGATAATGTGCAGCGAGCAGGATCCCGACAGAAGGCCGAGGGATCTTCCCTCGCTGTTCCCGTTAGTGTTTACTTGACTGTTGATTTCCCTGATGTACAGCACTCTGTCTTTTTAACCTCTTCCTTTCCTCTTGCACTGTTTTCTTTTTCTCCACTGGGGGCAGTTTAGCCTACTTCAATCCAAAGCTTTGGGCGCTATACGAATAAAAAAGTAAATATTAGAAATAGCCTTTTACCGTGATTTCTGATTGAGGAATTTCTGTTTTTTTGGTAACGTGGTCGTTAACTTCTCTCTGTGTGCTGCACAGTTCACTGGTCCTCTTTAGCAAAGGGCTTCTAGAGAAGAGAGAGGAGCAGAATACAGCATGTTCGAAATTGACCAATCAGCATTGAGTATTCATCCAAGCCATGTATTAATGTGTGTTTGATATTTTTGCTTCTAACCAACCTAATTCATCTTAATTAGGAAAGACAATTATGCATTTCAAGCCATTTTTTTCCAATTTTCAATAGTTCATCACAACAGATCTGTGTTACTTTTCTTGTCATTTAAGCATCTCATACATCGGTAAAAGCAAAAGTACATTTATTGTTTAACTCCTATATATTCTGCGTTGCAACTTTGGCTTCAGTTCTGTGTTTTTGTGCAGCAGTTTCACATCATCTTATAATTACACTGAACAAAAATATAAACGCAACACTTTTGTTTTTGCTCCCATTTTTAATGAGATGAACTCAAAGATCTAAAACATTTTCTACATACACAAAATAACCATTTCTCTCAAATATTGTTCACAAATCTGAAAAAAATCTGTGATAGTGAGCACTTCTCCTTTGCCGAGATAATCCATCCCACCTCACAGGTGTGGCATATCAAGATGCTGATTAGACAGCATGATTATTGCACAGGTGTGCCTTAGGCTGGCCACAATAAAAGGCCACTCTGAAACGTGCAGTTTTGCTTTATTGGGGGGGTCTGGGGGGGTCCGAAAACCAGTCAGTATCTGGTGTGAGGGTTAGGGTTAGGGTAATGTTGTGAATCGAGTGGCCNTCGTCCATAACATACGCCTGCCCATACCATAACCCCACCACCACCATGGGCCACCCGATTCACAACATTACCCTAACCCTAATCCTAATCCTAACCCTAACCCTAACCCTAATCCTAACCCTCACACCAGATACTGACTGGTTTTCGTGCAATAATCATAATGTTTAATCAGCATCTTGATATGCCACACCTGTGAGGTGGGATGGATTATCTCGGCAAAGGAGAAGTGCTCACTATCACAGATTTTTTCAGATTTGTGAACAACATTTGAGAGAAATGGTTATTTTGTGTATGTAGAAAATGTTTTAGATCTTTGAGTTCATCTCATGAAAAATGGGAGCAAAAACAAAAGTATTGCGTTTATATTTTTGTTCAGTGTATATTCATTGTAATGCTACTCTTTAAAAACCATAGTGTTTATTTATGGTCTGTTTAGTTTAAAATATAATACTCTCTCTCTGTCACTTTCTCTGTTATATTGCAGTATGCCATATCATTTACAAAGCGTATGTGATTGGATGTATTGTGTATATATTAGTAGTACATTTGAGCATTATTGTATTTATTTGATGTTCTCCCAGGATCAAAGTATTGGACTATATTGATGTGAACCCACACATTTCAAGCTGTATAATAAGATACTTTTCACAAACACCAATTAAGGGCCAACTCTCTTAATGCTTTTCTGTTATTCTTCCTAAATCTGTTTATTTCACCATGATGCTGTAACACAAAAGAAATGTTTGCCACCCATCGAGAAAAATACCTCCGCGTTTGCAGTGTTTTGCAGACGAATGTTCCTTTTGTAAATACTGTAAAAACATCAGCTGTTCCAGAGGAAATTAAAGCTAAACATTGATTAATAAGAGGTCTGTTTCAGTTCTTCACTTTGAGTTCAACTTTAATTAAATGACCGTCAGGGAGGCATCCTCTAAAGCCTCCGGGAAGGAGAGAGGAATTTCCTGTGTGTCGCTGCTATAGATAGCTGGAGGAGTGAGAAATGAACCATTATTAAACTGAAACATGACCTCCATCCAATGGAAATGTTCCCAAAGTATCCACAAGATGGCACCACCAAACATCATAAAAAGAAGCTCCCCCCCCCCCTGTGTGTTTAATGATTTCCTGCTCCTGGGAACTGACCCATTACACACTGAATCAATTACAATTAGAAATAGCACTCACAATGAGCAATAACTTTAGAAATGTGAAATCACGGTTCTTTATGTCTTACTATTCATGGACCTCCTTGACCTCCATGCAGGCATTTGTCTTCATCATGTTTCCCACTTTGACTTTTTTGACTACGTAATACTGTATGTATGGGAAAACATGGCTTTCATCTCTTTCTATTTAACCTTAATTTAATCAGGGAATTCTTAAAAAGGGAGATCTGGTAGACAAAGCTCCAGGAGCGTTTTATTAATGAAATTAAAAACGTTAAAATAAAACAACATTTTGCATTTACGTGTGGATCAAAAGTGTGTATGTAGAAAACTATGTATATATTCTCCTTGTTTCTTTTGTATTATTTTTTATGTAATCAAGGGGCTCAGCCTGCAGAGGGTTGTTACTTAAAGGTAGGGTATGTAATTTTGGAGAAACCAGCTCGAGTGCGCTAGAATTTGAAAATACACAACCGGAAAAAGATCTGCCACTTCCTTCAGACACAAGATAAGTTTGTGCACAGATGGAAGTCTGACAGGCAGGTAGGCCATCCAGCTATTTTAGCCGGGCCGGCTCAAATGACTGGTCGTGCTTTTTAAAGCGCTACGGCTTCCACAGATGACATTTTTTAATGTATTTTTTGTCAAAGCACTTCAGATATTCATTGCTATCAGGATGTTAAGAGCATTCCATGGAATAACAAAAAGTGTTTCTGAAATAAATGACATACCCCACCTTTAAAGTCACGTTCAGGCCTGTTAGTGTGTACACACACACATTACAAATACACACATGCACAGGAGCTATACAGAAATGTACCAACACACAGATGTATGTATATAGAGGTGTCAGAGCGAAGAGGGCCAGGTTTAGGGAGCAGCTGGGGGTTAAATGTCTTGCTCAAGGACACCTCCGTATTTTATTGGTCCAATCGGAACTTGAACTACAGTAGCAACCCTTCATTTCCCAAGCCAAGTCCCTACACACTAAGCTAACCTCCTGGGCACTGTCAAGGCATTCTTGAGCAAGGCACTGAACCCCAAACTGCTCCCTGACGCCGTTAAACATGGCAGCTCATAACGCCTCATAAAAACATGCTTGTGCATTCCCAACGTGTTTATAGGTCCTGTGCATGTGTGTATTTGTAATGTGTGTATGTATACTAACAGTCAACAACTGAATTTCATCTAGTGGGGTTAATTAAGTGGCTTCTTCTTTTTTAAATGAATAATTGTAGTATTGACACTTTAAGTACACTTTGCTTTAACTGTAGCAACCTTTTGAACTAAGAAGTACTTGTGGGGGAGTATTTTTAACTCTAGTATATTAGTTACTTTTACTAGGAGAAAAACCACTTATTCTACAATGTCTGCAAAATGCTCTTTGCAAAAACTCCCATTTCCAT